CAGGTCGGGGCGCGTTCCCACCAATCTCACCCATGCCAATCAAGGCCACCATGGGCCCCACACACAGCCCTCCATCAGGGGGCGCTCGCCTTCTTACTTTAGGACGTGTCATAGACGCGTTCATATGATTGCCGAAATCGTTGTCGCTGAAGCTCTTGAGGTCGCCTCCAGTTGTCAACTCCGCCATTGCTGTCGCAGCGCAACTTAGGTTGGAAACGGCAAGGTGCTAATAGCTGGAGGCCATGGCCGTCGTTTGGCGAAGACGACCAGGGTCGCAACCTGATTACAAAGCTTCCAGGCCAAAGAGTCAGGTCGACCAAGCGAGGGATTACCATGCGAGGCCTTCGCTCGAACATTGTAAAGAGCGCGGTGCGCAGCACGTTTCCCGACTCCACCGCTGTGCACAAAATTATTCGGCGCATTGGGTCCGTCTGGCTGCCGCATTTTTCGGAATGCTCTGGCAATCGTTGTTACCCGCTGTCGCCCGTGTGGGGCGTCCATCCCCAGTTTTCGCATCGTGCGGATTTGCCTGACGGACACTCCAAGAGGTGCGATGTTGCCCAGCAAAGCCTGACTCACGACTTGGGGCCCTGGCATGGTGGCCTTGCCTGATATCCTCAGCCCAGCATCTACGCACCCGTCTCGCAGATGCAGAGGAGGCCGCCGAAATCTGCCACTTCACAAGCACCAAGACCCCGTCGACTCCCAGCACAAATTCTTCATCAACCTGTTTGCGACCGTACGCACCGGTGCATCGATCATGGATGCTCTCCTGAATTAGAACCTGACTCGCAGAGTCTGGCTCCGCAGGGCACCCAGCCCTCTCTTTCCCAACCCACCAACTGACTACCTACCAAACCACCCCAACCCGACCCGAAGACTCAGATTTCGGGTTGGGGGGGGACGGGTTCCACACGTGTTTTTTCTATGTTCCCCGGCCCCCCCCCAAACTGGAAATCGAGGGTCGAGTTGGGCCTTCGGGTTGGGTTGGGGTGATTTGGTGGGTGGTGACCAACGGAGAGGGAAAATGAGGACCACACGGGCGGAGCGCATCGGGCGACCGCTGGCAATTTGACGCACCAGGACGTCTCCGCGCCGAGCGACACAACCGTGTCCCGTCGGCGGCGCACTGGCTCCGAGCCGCGGTCGGGGCAGCCGGGGACGCGCAGTTATATCGAGTTGGGCACGAGGAGAGACGGGCCAAGAGCGCGGCGAAGGGGGGGAGAGAGGACGCCGCGAACAGCGGAGCACGCTCGGTGCACAAAGTTGTTGTGCGCGAGTGCCCTCCTCAGCCTAGTCAGATGTAGCAAGACGGCTCCCACCTCTCCTTATCCTCCTCCTCCTCCTCCTCCTCCTTCTCCTCCTCCTCCTCCTCCTCCTCCTTCTCCTCCTCCTCCTCCTCCTCCTCCTCCTCCCTGGCACGTTACACGTAGCAGGACGCTGCGCACTACCTTTCTTCCGACAAAGCAGCTCACACCGACCCAGTGGCTTCCTCACCGTGCCCGTGAAGTGGACCCCGAGACCCCTGCTCGAACAGACTCTCGCTCCCGCATGTCGGCCACGCTCGACACTGTGCGAAACACTGCCTGACAAAGACTAACACCACCACACTGCTACACCTGGCCATGGTGGAAACAGTTCAGAATCCCAGCCGTCTGCGTTGGCGCAGGCGCTTATCAAGGAAGAGGAGAGGGGGAGAAAGAGGAAGGAGGAGCAAGGAGAAGAGGACGAGGGGAAAACAAGAGGGCAGGTATTAGGCTGCGCGCCAGGCTCACCCCACTCTGGCCCAAAGGAAGCAGCAAGCCCCAACGCTCGGAAATCCTACAGAGCGCAGCTCCAAACGGAGCGAGTCAAGCGAACGATCACAAAAACAACGGGCAGCAAGGAAAACCTGCAGCCATGAGGAGGAGGAGGAAGGAGTGAGAAAAAGGACAAATGGGGGACAACGAGCTGTTGGAGCACGCTCGTCCTAAGTCGTCCGGGAGGCACCCGCCCTCGCAATACTCCTCCCGTCCTCATCCTCATCTTCCTCCTGCCTCCCCCCTCCTCCTCCTCCTCTTCCTCCTCCTCCTCCTCCTCCTCTTCCTCCTCCTCCTCCTCCTCCTCCTCCTTCTCCTCCTCCTCCTCCTCCTCCTCCTCTCCTGATCCTCCTCCTCCTCCTTCTCCTCCTACTTCTCCTGTTCGTCCTCCTCCCTCCTGCTCTTCCTCTTCATCCCTCCTCCTCCTCCCTCTCCTCGTCCTTCTCCTCCTCCTCCTCCAACTCCTCCTCCACCTCCTCCTCATCATCCCCCTCCCCGTCCTCCTCCTCCTCCTCCTCCGCTCTCCTCCTCCTCCTCCTATTCCTCTTCCTCCTCCTCAGTATGATCATCATCGTCATCAACGTCATCATTATCATCATCATCATCATCATCATCATCATCATCATCATCATCATCATCATCATCATCAGCATCATCATCATCATCATCAACATCATCATCATCATCATTATCATCATCAGCATCATCAGCATCATCATCATCATCATCAGCAGCAGCAGCATCATCATCACCATCACCATCACCATCACCATCACCATCATCATCACCATCATCACCATCATCACCATCATCATCATCACCATCATCATCAGCACCATGATCATCAGCATCAGCATCATCAGCAGCAGCATCAACATCATGATCATAATCATCAGAATCATAATCCATACAAGTATCAGCATCATCAGCAGCATCATCAGCATCATCGTCGTCATCATATCATCAGAATCAGCATCATCACCAGAACCACCACCACCCCTACCATCATCACCATGATCATGATAATAATCGTCATACTCAGCATCATCATCAGCAGCATCAGCATCAGCATCATAGTCCTCATAAACAGCATCATCATCATCAACAGCATCATCATCATCCTCATCATCATCATCATCATCATCCCACTCCTCCTCATGGCCCTCCTGCCTCCCCTTCGTCTCATTCCTAGTCCTCCTCATGTTCCTACTCCTCCTTCTTTTCTTGCCTGTCATCCTCCCCCTCCACATCTTTATTCGACTCATCCGACTCCTCTGACTCATGAGAATAATAGCCCCTCATCATCATCCTCCTGTCCTCATCTTGCCTGCCATCATGACGACCACCACCACGATCACCATCAGCAAAATCACCACCATCACCACCACCAAGACCAGCAGCACCACCACAAGCCACCTCCTCATTGACTTTGTCGTAATCAATAGCGCCAGCATCCGAATCGCCATCAGATTCATCATCATGATCATCGCCACCACCACAATCATCATCACCAGCATCATCGTCGTCACCATCGTCTATACGAACAGCAGAAGCAGCAACCGCAGCATCGTCAGCATCATCATCATCATCATCATCATCATCATCATCATCATCATCAGCATCATCATCATCATCATCATCATCAGCAGCAGCAGCAGCAGCATCAGCATCAGCGTCACCATGATCATCATCAGACTCATCATCATCAGCAGTATGATTAACGGCAACGACAACAACAGAATGTGCACCGACATCATCAACAGTATCGTGATAAGCATCATCATCGAGAGCATCATCAATATCATCATCGACAACGGCATCAGCATCAACGGCAGTAGCATCATCATCATCATCATCATCGGCATCAGCATCAGCAGCAGCATCATACGCCTGATCATCCGTCAGAATCAGCATCATCACCATCATCGCCATCATCGTTATTTGCATCATCAGCATCATTAGCATCACCAGGATCAGCATCATCATCAGCATCAGCAGCAGCGGCATCAGCATCATCATCCTCATCAGCATCATCATCATCATCATCATCATCATCATCATCATCATCACTGTCATCGTCATCATGGTCAGCACCATCATCATCAGAAGCATCATCATCGTCATCATCATCATTGACAACAGCAGCATCCGCATCATAGCTGACGTCATCCTTCTCATAGCCCCAGCACCCTCATTAGTATTACCATGTGCCGCAATGTCAACATCCACAGTATCGGTTGCTTCATCCAACTCAGCATCATCATCAGCATCATCATCACCATGAACATCATCAGAATCAGCATCGGCATCACAAGCATCATACCACCACGATAATCATCATCATCAGCAGCATCATCAGCATCATCATCAGCATCATCATCAGCATCGTCATTATCATCAGCATCAGCATTATCATCATCATCCTCATCAGCATCATCATCATTAGCATCATCATCATTAGCAGCATCATCATCAACAGCAGCACTTCCACCATGATCATCGTCATCGTCATCGTCGTCAGTGCCATCATCGCTATCATCGTCGTGAGCATCATCATAATCATCATCATGAAACTCCGTGCCACCGTAATCATCGTCATCATGATATACATCGTCATCATCATCATCAGCATCATCACCGTCAGAATCAGAGCATCATCAGAAGCAGCATCATAATTCTTACCAACCTGCTCCTTCTCCTCTTCCTCGAATTATGCCCTGTCCTTCTCCTCGTCGCTCTCGTGCCTCGCATCCTTCTCCTCAAGATCCTGCGCCTCGCACTTCTCCTCCTCCTTCTCCTCCTCCTCTTTTTAGACCCCATCGTGTCACGTGATCCCGTTCCGCTCTGTCTGCTCCCCGACCTCATCCCCTGCTGGCATACATCTGTCGTCCCCAACACTACCTCCTCCCATCCATCAATGTGTTGTGGAAAGCGTCACTGCCTCTGTAGCTCAAGCGCTTATGAACATCGCTGCGTTGGCTCGCTACACTATAAATCAAGCAACCTGAGCAGAGCCACTAGCAGCAAAACTGGACATCGGAAAGCAGACGCAGTCCGTCATTCCTGTCTCCCTTACAAATCACATTCCCTCCTGACCTCCTCTCCGTCTCTGTCATGATCAATGGTTGCCCATTTATGCGGCAAAAACATAATTCGAACAACGACCGTGCCTCGCGACCGCATCGCTTTTCCCTTTTTTTTCCGAGCCTGGACCGGTCCTCGGGGGCCACGGGGGCTCGAGGCGACGGGACGGTAAATACGGCCGTGGTTTCTTCCGCGGCGCACAAGCGCAGGGGTCTCTCTCCTCCTCGAGCCGGAGCTGGAGCCAGTTGGCGTGCACGCGAGGCCTTCATCATGACGGCCAGCATCTTGGAAACGCTGTCGGGGGTCCTCTGCGCACCATGAGTGGAGATCTGTGGACATCGACGACGACGACGACGATGACGACGAAGACGATGGCGACGACGACGACGTCGTCGACGACGACGACGACCGCCGCGGATCGCCACGAATCGCTGCGGCCACCCAACGGCGGTTCTCGGAGATCCTCGCCGGGCTTGCATGTTTTGGGGGGCTTTGGCGGTGATCTGCCTTTGGTCCGTAGGTGTCGCATGCTTTGAAAGATTGTCTCTCTGTGTACTTCTAGGGCTACGTCGAGGAAAAAAAGGAGAATCCTGATGGGTGGCGCTACGTCCTTTTTCGACCTCCTGAGGGGCGCCACGACGCTTTGCCACTTCCGCCACCAGCAGAACCCCCTTAAAGCCAAGAAGCGAAATCTGATCCTTATCAGGGTGACGCCGTCAGTGCCGATCTGGCGCGTGTCGATCCATCAGCAAGAAGAACGACGGGGGAGGCCCCGAGGGGCACAAGGGCGAGCAGGGAGCCTCTAGCGTCTCCGCCGGTGCACTAAAGGCGGCCGTCGATCGAAGATCAACCGAACCGCCTTCATAGTGGAACCGAGGTCGGATCGAACCCAGGCCACGAAGAGGAGGATGGAGTCGCCCCGCTCGGGATTTGCAGTCGAGCCGACCGACTCCACATGCGGGACACCTACACGCATCATCGAAACGATCGAAACATGGACGGCCCTAGCACCACACACGAGGGGGAGGAGGAGGACGAGGAGGAGGAGGAGGCGATAGTACCCTGATGGCCTCGCCACTGCCAAAGTAGGCCTGCGCCTGTTGGCGCTCGTGGCAGTTGCATCCCCTTGCTGGCTCTGCTGCTGCTTCTGCTCTGTTCACACATTAGACTTATCGCCCTCTTCTCGCCTCCGTGCGTTTCGCCCGTCTTGTGCTTCGACCGACCGGCCGAGGACCAGAGTGAATCCCAGACGCATCAAAAATATTGCAAGAATCCCTCAATTACCTCTCCAGGAATCCCTGAAAAATGTACTTGCATTGCGGGAACTGGCCCACTGAGAGACCACCGTGTGTGAGAGTCCTCGACCGTGCCAGAACACCCTGCCCGGGACTGCAACGCCGCGGATCAGCATGACCGCTGCGTCCTGGCAGTCATCACTCGTGCCAGAACACCATTCCTGGGACTTCAGCAAAGCGAATCAGCAGTGCTGTCACCTCCCAGCAGTCCCAAAGCGTGCCAGAACACATTCCCTGGGGCTTCGACCGCACGAACCCTTGAAACTGACCCAAACGCTCACGAAGCGAACGTGCGCGACGCCAAGGCGAAGGAAGAAATAGGAGCACGTGGTCCTACACCCAGGGGGTCGGTGGGGTGGGCCCTCACGGCTCCACGCCCCTGGGGGGGGCCTGGGAGCCCCAGGGCCCCCTCGAGTTCCAGCCAGGGGTGCCTCTGCTCCCCCAGGGCCTTGCTGGGTGAGCGCGATCCCACTCGCGAGGCACGCCTCACACTCGCCGGCCTGCTGCGCCGGGCAACTTCCAAAGCTCGGCCTCGGGGGTGGCCTGTCAGAGGCCGCCTCCACCTCCTCCTCCTCCTCCTCCTCCTCCTCCTCCTCC